TACAACCTGTTCGGCACAACAATATTCGACACTTACGAACATGCCCAGGTTTAATGATTACGGAACATGGAAACTATTAGCTTAATAGCTTTCAAAAAGCTTAATTGAGGCAATGCGAAACTGAAAAGTACAAAAGAATCTGAACCTACACCTGCATCAGCTTGTGAGGCTAACGCGCTAGCCATTACACCACAACCACGGGCGGTATTGGTGTTCTGTTCCTATCTATCTCTGGAGGCCAAATTTGGCGCGAATCCTTCATAACTTCTTTCAGAGAAACGCTCAGCAGAAAAGGAAACCAGATTTGGAATCAGCGTTCGAAGGCGAGTGTATTGGTATACATTTCATCGCAAAAGGCCACGGACACTAAGTATCGTTTCCTTGTAAGTATCGTTCCCTTGTTAGAGGTTTTTCGCGAATGAAGGTGTATTTTATGTAAAGGGCTCAAACTTGCCTTTAACTTACCTCTTTGCGAATGGCGTCGATTTTGCGATCATCACGCCTCGGTGATGGGCCCAAAAGATGTGCAATACCCAATAATATTTGCAGCAATCGAAGATTTGGTCTATTCGGAAAGAAGGAAGACTTTCTACTTTTTACTCATAAAATGGGGCATTTTAGAATGCAAAAAGGAACAATTTTTCAATTTTTTCAAGAATATTTTTTACAGCTGTGCTTCAAAATTATGACGCAGTCTATAGATATTTTCAGCAGAGTTCTTCATAACTAACATCAGCTCTACATAACCAACGGGTGTGAGCTCTCCAGCTCTCTTCGTGCCCGACATATTCCTGCACTAACAGGCCTAATTTCAAGTCGACCTTTTCCCCTACTACGCATGCTGATGGCCCGAAATGAAGTGCTGAGGACTCAACAAGATAGTCATACATTGTAGACAACATTGCCTTTGCAGCAAAATTTGCAGCTCTCAAAAAAGAAGCGGTCCGCTTGAAGTACAGCAGTTTGAAAGAAAATTTCGCTAATGCTCGAAAACTTTCTTTGCAACTCATTGTCAGTACATGATAGTTTTGTTATCACAGTGCAGTCAAGATTTTTACAGAGACTTGCGAAATTTCAACGGCGGTGCCCATCAGCCCACCAACTATAGTAAAGGCTAAAGCCGGACAAGGACGTGCACATCTACTTTATCGATTTTATCGATTCTTGGAGAACTTTGAGCTACGAGGCTGAGAGATGGCACACAGGTAAGTGGGGGTGCTGTCTATGGATGGATAGGCTTCAGCTAGGTATGTCAGCAAGTTTCAAATATAGTTGCTCTAGATGTTCAATAAATCATTCGAATATTTATTCGAAGTTCGACTTCCAATGTTCGAATATAATCGATATTAGTTTATTCGACATTTTTGATTTTCCGATTTTACTTGGGAATACTTATTCGAAACTTTCAAATTTCGAATGATGCCCGTTTAATCGAGATATATTATTCCCGAGTTTATTCGATTCGTTTATTCGAAATTTTCATTTTCGAATAAACGAATTTATTCAATAATCATTCATGCGACGAAAAATTTCATGTTTCCCCAAGTATAGTATGAAGGCGCTCTGAGATGACTGCGCAAACAGCCTCGGTTTGGTCTTCTTGAAAAGTATACTATTCGAGTTCTGAGATCATCGGGTGACGTTGAATAACGAATTTTGTTTAGCAAATATTTGTGGAACTCAAAAATCAAGTGTTGAACTTTGGTAAGTTCATTTTCATAGGTCATAGGCAAATAAACCCGAATTTCAATCTGACCAAACTCAATAGTCTGCCTACCTTGGAAACCGAAAAAACATCTTATTTTCAAATCTCACCTTGAAAAAATAACTTTTTTAGAACCAACCTTAATAACTGTTCAAGTCAATGCATATGACGTAATAGATTTTTTCCGTAATTTTTCTGGCCTTCATAAATTGTTGTTGTTTCCTCACTTACATTGAAATGCATGTAAAATTATTGCAATAAAATCCAAAGGTCACGAAAAAAATTTTCAATGTCATGCAAAAATTAGGTTAGAAGTTTAATCGTTTATGGCTACCAAGACAGACAGGGCAGACAGGGCAGACACCAAAGTGGTGGGAAGGGTCATTCGGTAGAATAAAACAAGCTCCACATGACCATAGAAAATGTGAAAAATCGTGAACTGCGTAACTTTTAAGAAAAAAATTAGGGGTTTTTGGCTGCACTCATTCTAAATCTTCACCCAAAATAATTTCATAAAGTTTCTATTACGTTCCACTTGGATGCTTTTTTAGAAGGATAAAGGAAGTGGAATCAACGATATCCTCTGCGGGAATGTTCCGAACGCGTTCTTTTTTATAATCGACGAGGCTACATTATGGGCAGGCCTTTACAGAGCGGAGGCCAATTTACTAAGTCAATTGCTATCGTGCTTCAAGATTACTTCGGTTCCAGTTTACTTTACCTCCCGGAAGGTATAGAGAGCGCTTGGCCCAGAGTCCTTGGTCCGACCTGGTCACAGCGGCGCTTCATACACTACGTCATTCGTTCCTCTAATTCTTATTACGAAGCTATTAGGGGGGGATGAAGTACTTCAAAATTGCCTTTGGATAAAGTTTTTGTTTCAATGTAGACACTAATCGGGGCATGCACACCATTGGATAAAAAAACCCCTAACCCAGATTTCCAACTTCTGTAAACGTTATGAGACCACCAAGTGCTCCAGTTTATAGTATACACATACTTACATAGTTACATGCATAGTTCGGATGGAATATGCGTTTCAACAAGAAAAACGAGGTAATTGAAAAGAGGCGAACTCCGCCCATTAATCCCGGGCTCCTTCCATTTGCTTAAATTTCATCTACAGACAAGTGAGAGTACAGCTACAAATTTTTGTGCTTGTACATGCATTAGAGTTCGAGATATAACAAATTTGATCTATGTCCGAGAACTTTCTTTCCAACCTGATAAGATTCAAAAAAAGTTGGATTGGATTGACAATGCGATCACAGTTTTAAAGTTTTTTCTGCGAAATCTGTCATCCCTAGTTATTACGGCACACAGACACATACAGGGGTGTAATTCATGACTGTACTACCTAATGGTTGTAGCACAACCACTTATAAAAGGACATGTTGAATTCGTCAAACTTTGGCACTAATTCCCCGCCATGAAAAAGCGAATTTGACGAATTTTGATTTGCCTATTACATGTTGATCAAGTGCAAGTGTTGTAGAACTTTTTTGGGCGAATTTCGCATTTTTGGGGCAATCAAACAATCTTAGAATTCAGCTTCAAACTCCATGTGAATCGCGAATTACGCAAATGTCTGGAGACTATCTTGTTCGCCTGTTGCGGTGCCATAAAAACGATTTTCCTCTCCAACCTGATGCATTTACACATGCAAATCCTTTTCAGAGCAAAGTTTTAGAAGTGCATACATAAAACATGTGACAAGAATATGTACGTAAAAGTTCAATGGTATGACATTTTAATCTTCAATCAAAAGTAGTGCAGTTCAGTTTTCTAGATATTTCTTTCAACTTTTTTGCAAACACAGAGGACAAACTACCTGAGACGTGTTTATTCAAACATTTTTTTGTTGATTATATATTTCAAGAGGGCTACACTTCTTCTTCAAAATAGACCGAATTACATCATTGTGTCGCAATCTGGCCTATGGGTAAGGTCCTCAGCACGCGCATGTCTAGCGAAAGCTCAAAGAATACTCCCGCACATGCTCATTTGCTAGTCTATTCATGAAGCGTGGCCAGGCACTACCCCCAAGGTGCCAAAAAAATTTTTTATGAAGATCTTTGAACCTTAGCCAATTAGCAACATCTCAAGCAAGCACTTCCGTCCGTTCGTAGTTTCTCGAGGACTTCGGGTGTGCTCTGCCGTCACTCTCACTTCGGCGTGCTCTCTGCTCATCAGCTTAGCTCATCCCCCCCCCGTTCTACTTACTATGCTCGGCTCTGGCATCGATATAGTGCTCGACTCAAACAGCTGCCGTTCTTATTGCAAACAACGCGATCGAGATCAAGTATCGGGAGATTTCCTTCATCCTACATACGCTGGAAACCTGCCAATTTTCGCTTTGAGATTTTCGATGCACAGTAGAAAATGCGTAAAATGTTGGCCTCGAAAAATCTTCCGCATTTATTCCTGACGGAAGATTTGATAATTTCGAACATCTCTAGTATTTTCTGAGACATGACCTATTATATAAGTTAACATTTTCTACTACTATAGAAATTTATGAATTTTTTCAGAGTTACATATGCTGATATAGGACCGCTCATTTTCAAAGCTGAGTATTTTCTGATAATAACGATTTAATTTTCTGTCATTATTGTATGCACAATGATGAGAATTTTGAACCAACTTTCCTTAACAAAAAAAAAATGCGCCAGAATTCGAAAAATTTCAAATTTGACCACAAAGAACAAGTTTTGAGGAAAATTTGAGAAAAATTTTACAAACAAATTTCAGACCAATTATCCCAATGTGAACTTTTAAAGTCACTAGGGTAAAAATTATCTATGCGTTACAATTGCCCCTAACAACATTATTTTCATGGTCAACTGATAACTTCTAAACGCTTTTCTGGAAGAAGAAAGATGAAGGAAAATTCTTCGTGCCAGCTGCTTCAAATTTTTTGCACTTTCAAAATTCTGAGTGACTCTTCCGGTGGATTCAAATATAATAAAAACAAGCATTAATCTCCCGAACTATGCTGTTAAGCTGTGTTGTCCTCAAGAGTTAGCTAAGTCAGCTGATTGTTGTCTTCATAAGTTCGCTAGGTCAGCTGATAAGTGGGCGAAAGTTAATTGAACTATAGGGCATAATATATTTCATGAACTGAAAAGATCCAATTCAAATATTCAGCAATTTTTTAAACGATACTCTCCATTTAACAAACAGAATTTTCTCATTTTATCAAGCTTCTCATGCTCAACTCCACCTCTGGAGCAGTCGTCTTGAGATAATCTTGTTACTGCGCTTTTGAATGAATAATCCGTTATCTTCTTCAGATATGGGTGCGACAGAACCGTCCCAAAAAGTGGACTCACCATCGTCAGAAGTAAAATTAAAGCCACAATTATCATTATTTTCTGGATGTGCCATTATCATAGGCGTGATAATTGGTTCAGGCATATTTGTTAGTCCCAAAGGTTAGACATAATCGTTGTCCCAGCGTTCGCTTTATAGGTGCCGACGCTTCGCATGCCTCTTGCGCCTTTGCGCTGGTGCTTTGTAGCAACGCGTCAAAGGCAGCAAATGGGCTGCGTTGCGGCGGTTTACTGTGAGAAGATTTCTAGGGCAGATACAATAAATATGGTTCAAAATTGCTTTCTTAAGATAATTTATTCAGGGGTGCTGCAAGAAGTTGGAAGCGCCGGTCTATCCTTGATTGTATGGCTTTGTTGTGGTATATTCGCTATGCTAGGCGCATTATGTTATGCTGAACTAGGAGTTCGGATACCAAAAAGTGGCGGAGACTATGCTTACCTCAACGAGGTGAACAATACATGGAAAAATGATATATACATGTTAGCTTGAACCGAAAGTTTTGTCACCCCTCAAAAAAATCCTGTTAACTTTATCACTGTTAACTTTATCCGGTTACGATAGTCTTGCATGGCAAAAATACCTCTAGAAAGAGCAAATCGTGTACTTCCTGAAAACACCTTGCATCATCTCTCCTAGGCTCTGATTGCAGGGATAAAAATGGGAAAAGGAAATTACTTCAGGTTTGGTGATTTGAGGCAAGCCCGCTAATCCAAAAACTGCGCGATAAAGTCCAAAACATCCGTTGCCATAGTCTTTTTAACCTTCTCTTTGTAGCCGAGCAAAATTTGCGCTGATCGAGCTTTTTTGGAAAAGTTACGATTTTCGGGAAAAAATGCCAAAAAAATTTTTTTTGAGAGACCGATTTTTTGGCATTTTTTATTGAAAGCCATAACTTTTCAAAAAGCAGCTCGATCGTCGCCAGTTTTGCTCAACTGGAGGAAGTTGAAAGACCTACAACACTGACTGTTTCGGATTTTATTGCTCAGTTTTTGGATTTTCAACGGGCTAGCCTCAAATCACCGAACCTGATGTATTTCCTTTTCCCATTTTATCTCTGCAGTCAGAGCCTAATAGAGATCAAGCATCAGTCGTCAAAGAATACATGCTTGTTCTTTCTAGAGGTATCTTTGCCATGCAAGACTATCTTGCCAGGAAGAAGTTACGATTTTTTTTTGAAAATGCTGCGACAGAACTTGCCGTTCTACTTAATATAACAATAGAAACCGGTAGTGACTTTTCCTCTTCTATGTAATCCTATCCATTTAGGCTTTCGGCTCACTGCCATCTTTTCTCTTCTTATGGGTTGAACTGCTGATAGTCACGCCATCAGGGGATGCTATCATAGCACTCACATTTGCTAATTATGCTCTAAAGCCTGTATTTCCAAACTGCGAGGTCCCGGAAATGGCTATAACTCTTTTAGCGGCTTGCACCATAGGTAGGCACCTGCCAGCCTATACTTTGTAAAAAAAAAGATACTTAGCATCTTTGAAATCCATCAGCGGTTCCTTTCTGGCGCTGTTTCGGCCATATGTGCACCGCACTGGTGTACCCAGGATTTCCGTTCGAAGGGGGGAGGGGGGCGGAGGACAAATTTTAGGAAGATGCGTCGCTTTGGCCGGGGAACGGAACTTACATACACAATAAGGTTGCCGCTGCCTAATTAGCGGAGTTCATGAAAGGTCATGAACTGGCAGCAACGCTAATTTGCACTCATTTTGCACCAAAGATGAGCTGATTCTGCTCACGGTAACTCTGTCATCATCCTGCAGCCTATGAAACCGGAGTTCTTTGAAATTTGAATTCAAAGTTCAGTAATAATTTCAGTCCAATTAGGGTAAAAACTTGTATTTAGGGGTATTTTATCACGCTGATTCCGAATATGTTAATCATTTTACCTGAAACCTAGGATTTTTTCTTTCTTGAATTAAAACTTGTTTTCACAAATTTTCCAACAAAAATTTCAAAAATTCTATGTAAGAGTTTTCTGACATGCTGTTTCCGAGAAAGTTGATGTTTTTGCTTGAAACCTCAAAATTTTTCTGCTTCTCAAGCTCTTTTTCGGAAATTTCACTGCAAATTTGATAAACCTGGATAACAAACGGAAAAAATCTGCTGTGTTTAAGAAAATAAAATAAGTCCGATTTCGATTAAACTATCTTGCTCCAATATTACCTTAGATCGAAAAACGAAAATCGTATCGATGTCAAAAATTTCTCAAATCCGAAATGGACTTCAACATCGAATAAGAATTTGCTTATTCAGAAAGACCCCCTTGAACCAATCCAAGTGTCACGGTCTATGCTGTTTTGAACCCCAAATATAAAATCCCAAAATTACCAAGCTACATCGATCCAAAATACTCTGAATACATAATTTAACGAAATTCGTTTACCTGCAATTAGTCAAGGTTGCCATGCATGTGATAGCCAACTTGTCAACGACAGGAATTTGAAAATTTTGAAATTTTTATTTGTGAAAACAATTAATTCAAAAAAGAAAAAAATCCTAGGTTTCAAGTAAAACGATCTACATATTCGGAATCAGCGTGATAGAATACCCCTAAATACAAATTTTTGCCCTATTTGGGCTGATTTTACTACTGAACTCGGAATTCAAATTTCAAAGAAATTCCGATTTCATAGGCTGCAGGATGATGACGGAGTTACCGTGAGCAGAATCAGCTCAACTTCGGTGCAAAATGAGTGCAAATTAGCGTTGCTGCCAGTTTATGACCTCTCATGAACTCCGCTAATTAAGCGGCGGCAACCTTATTGTGTATGTAAGTTCCCTCACCTCTTTGGCCACGCACTCGGAAAGTTTCTTGAGCTGCTTCCGAAAACTTTTGCGCACCCATATCACCGGAATTTTAGAAGGAGGGGGGGGGGGTGCGATGGCAGCCAAAAAAAAGCCAAGAAAATTTTCATGAGGCCAATTTGAATTTTTAAAAATTTTTGGAAATTCTTCTAATTATCCACAAGAACGACCAAGTCACTTGCACTTTTTTCAACTTGTAGGAACACTGAAACGATCATTATTCTCACCAAAAAATCCTGATGGAAGCAATGTCACATGTTGGCTGGCTCAAATCAAAGCCCTTATAAGGCAAAGTTTTTTCTCACACTCCTCACTAATATATCCATTTTCTAGCTCTACTCACATTCATAAACGGTTACGATGTTAAACTTGCCACTCGTTTCAACAATGTTTTCACAGTCACCAAAGTATCAGCTTTAGTAGTTATTATAGTAGCTGGGTTGGTCTGGTTGGCAATGGGTGAGTGATTTTGATCACAAAGTGATCACAAAAAAACCTTCACAAAAACAACGAAGTTATTTCTAGGTCACACTGATAACTTTCAAATGCCAGATTTGATGGCAGGAAGTGAGAAAAATCCAGCTGTGCTGGCTCTAGCTTTTTACTCTGGAGTATTTTCGTTTAGTGGTTATACCTACCTCAACTTTGTCACCGAAGAGTTGAAGGATCCATATAAGTAAATATTTGTTTTTATTGCACAGCCTCAAACTAAGAGGAAAAAAATTCAAGTGTACTCTTTAGGAACCTACCTCGAGCAATTTATATATCAATACCATCAATCACTATTATCTACATGCTAGTTAACATAGCTTATTTTGCAGTTCTGTCAACGGATGAGGTAGGTTTTCAGCAAATCAGACTGTTATAAGTTGTGGAAGATATCCTAGGAGTTCTAGACAGAGTCGAGTAGGTCAATAAACCTTTAGACTACCGTGTCCGAAAGCGACATTAGCCAGCGATCCTATTATATTATTAGTGGCAATCCCTGGATTTTAGTTTGGCGAGCGGCAAAAAGCTTTCTCGGATGGAGATGCGTAGCGTTAGCCATATTCTCCAAAAGAATTCTGGGGTGCTTCCCAAATTTTTTTGCGGGCCCATGAAATGAACCTGAAATTTTAGAAAACTTTTAGAGCTTTTTTTACAAAGTTAAATTAAATTTTCAGAAAATTCTTCAACTTATTTTGACTCGTTGACGACGAGCCTTTAAGGGTTTGTCCATGTGGAAGAGACGTTTCCATGCATCTTACGCCTGGCTGCATGTATGTATGCATGCATCTATGCATGAAATGCAGAATGTGCAAGCTCCGCCCCATGTGACAAGCTCCGCCCATTCGACAAGAAAGTCGAAAATTGCCCAAATTTCAAGAATTCATGCGAAAGCCATTTTTGAAAACATGGGTGTAGCTAGCCACTAAGGGGCGGAGCTTGTCTGACGGGGGGAGGGGAGATCTGAATCAAAGTTGTTTGAGGTCTTCGCGTTCATTTACGGCCTCTCCCGTTCTTTTTGAGCACAAAAAAGGATCCTCGTGAGGGGCACAGGAGCGGGCGGGATCTGCCAAAAGGGGCGGGGCTGTCATTGATTATATGAACACAAACTGAGAGAATTGGACAGATAGAACTGAATTAAGGCCGCCGCGCACCATTGCGCGGCACTGTCGTCAACGTGTTAATTATTCAGAAGTATGAAAAAGCCATTTGCACTTTTCACAACTCATATTAGTGACTTGCAAAAATTACGCGACCCATTCTCCGGGGGAGAAGGAGGACTCGATCAGCCACAGGCTATTGCTTACGTGAAGGCAGACTATGATATTGGACGACGAAAATGCCTCGGAGTGTGGCTGTCCCCGCCTGTCCCTGCTAGATCCGCCCACTTAGCGATCAACGAGTGCGCAAGTGGGCGAAGATTAGGCGACTTATCGCTTGGTGCGCTTCATACATTCTTGGTTAAGAGAAGACGAAGGCAACACCAGCTGATATTTCAAAAGCTTGCGGTGCAATGAATGTATTGCTGAATTATAGTTCAAAATCACCAATTATTCCATCCCAATCATTTACTCGCGTGTTCCAGGTTCTCGAATCCGATGCGGTAGCAGTAACATTCGCCAAGGAAGTGTTGGGTCTTTTTGCGCCCGTAGTTCCGCTATTTGTTGCTTGCTCATGTCTAGGTAGCTTGAACAGCATCTTGTTTGCTGCATCTAGGATGTTCTTCGCGGGTGCGAGGTAAATTTTTGTTGCTCACTCAATCAAAGTCTATATGATTCACAGAATATCAGTTAGGGAAAGGACTACTCTAAAATGTACGTAGATCCACCTATAGCTTGGATTTATAATCTTAGATTATGTGGTTCAAAGAGAAAGGTGACTGCACATCAATCGATAAGGTAGGCCTCAGACTAACTGATCGCCTGCTTCAACAGTACGCGGTTTAATTAGTAAACTGATGTCATTTGACGTCATGTTTGACGGAAATCGAAGTGGCATCTGCGATGTTCGCAACAATTATAGTCTTGCAGAGATGATGAAGCTCCGCAGTATGAGAGAATGATGAAAAGGCTTACCATTGAAAAAAAATTTCGTTGTAGCGAAATCGGGCACGCTGACTTAGTTTGCTTCCAACGTGACACCAAATGACAGTGACTGCGCCGCATGTTGCTGAAGCAAGACAATCGGCTAGTCTGGCGCCTGCCTAAAGGCACGGTTCATTCAAGAAGAAGGTCAATGAGATTTCCTTACAATAATAGTGACGCCCCTAACTATGTGACTGCTCATATCTCGCTACGAAAAAGTATATTCTAAATCGAGAAAGTTGCTCCAGAAGGTGGATGCTGCCGGGATCGCCCCGCCCATCAACATGGGTAATCTAATGTAATGAGGCCTGGGGATGTCGAAAATGCGTTTTGCAATGAAATCAACTTTCGGCATAGCTAGGTATATTGAGAATGCTCAAATCTGGGCCCATTACCTTCAGCATTCATCTTCTGGACATTTTCTCGCTTCGCAAATAACTTTTGCAGTTCGAGCAATACTCAATTTAGGTAAGGGTCCCGCTATTGTACTGCATGCAAATTAACCTCTGACTTGGAGATGGTGCCTTTAAATAGTTCTTTCAAATTATTTCTGGAATTTTCTGAAGATTGGTTTTTGCGCAAGCCTTACTGCATAAAAGTACATCCAGGCAAATCTGGACCTATGGGGATTTTACATGGAAAGTAATTTTGCCTAATTAAGGAGCCCAGCGGAAGCGCAAATGATTCACTAACAGCTGAAACATATGCCTCCAAACTGGACCCCAGGATCTATTTCGGACAACTTGCATCGTGTTTGCATGCTTCCGCGCGAGCACCCACCAGAGGTGCGATAGGTGGAGCCGGGCCCCCCAAAAGTGAAGGTGGTTCCAGTTACCACTGGCCGGCCAAAAGTGAAGGTGGTAGTGTCGGACACTCACCTCCCAAAAACGTTGACCGGGGGGGGGGGGGGTAGGGGGAGGGAGGACTTCGGATAACTGAAGAACTCTCATCTAATGGCCCCTAGGGCCAACAACTGTGACCTAACGGCCCTCTTTAGGGCCACAAATACGATGACTACAGCGCATAAAAATAAAAATAAAGTAAACTGTTAGTCAAAAGGTCTATTTGTAAGTAAAACCCAGCTAGACTTTGTGTGTTTCATCAAGTACATTTTGTTATGACGTACTGCAAAGAAAGTAGGTCGATCCAGGCAATAACCGCCGAGAACCAGGATTTCGAATAATAAAATAATGAAAAATCGTGAAAAATCATTTCACTGTTACAAATCTGCTGGCTGAAGACCTCCGCAGTTGCGACTTCATAGGTTTTGAAGGGTAAGTGTTGTTCTACCAGACAGTGAAAAAATCAGATTGATTTGAGGAGTGGCCGCCGAGAACGAGAATTTTGAAAAACCTTAAAAATCTGCTCAATTTTAGGTTGTTTAATGACAACTGACATTTAAACTATCATAAATCCGGACTTTGAAGGTGTGTGATGTTGCGACTTCATAGGTTTTGTAAAGTGAGGTTTGCCTTATCAGAACATGTCTTAGCTGTACCGATCCATTGAAACGTCGCCGAGATCCAGGCTCCTAAAGAAGCGGGTAAAAAACCGTTTTTCAGCTCATAACTTCTTCAGAATTGCATGAATCATGTTGCGACTTCATAGGTTGGATTCTCCTCATCAAGAGCTTTCAGATGATATATAATATGTGGGGGGTTCACGCCTTCCACGGCATATGCCCGGGGGTGGAGTACCTCTCTTCACTAATTCTCCACCCCGCCCATTTCAATGTATTGGCGGGAGGCCGCCAGTGGAGAATTAGTGAAGAGAGGTACTCCACCCCCGGGCATATGCCGTGGAAGGCGTGAACCCCCCACATATTATATATCATCTGAAAGCTCTTGATGAGGAGAATCCAACCTATGAAGTCGCAACATGATTCATGCAATTCTGAAGAAGTTATGAGCTGAAAAACGGTTTTTTACCCGCTTCTTTAGGAGCCTGGATCTCGGCGACGTTTCAATGGTGTTCGTACTATTCCAGTACGATTTCTTTGGGTGAAATACGATCCACAAGTAAAATATTTATTTACAACTTGCACAATGACAAAGACATATATTTCTATAATATTGAGTTGCCTTACCTAGTGTGATTTACCATTTGCCAGGTTCCTCGCCTGTCAGGGACGAGGCAGCTTGCCCATCTTACCTGCCCCCCGTTTCCCTCGGCTCCCCTTAAGACCTATTGCTGTTCTCAAAACAAAATGTTAAACATTTTCCGTCACTGTGGGAACGCACATCGACATCGTAACAAATCATGAATTGGGGATTCGTGACAAATGGATCGGTACAGCTAAGACATGTTCTGATAAGGCAAACCTCACTTTACAAAACCTATGAAGTCGCAACATCACACACCTTCAAAGTCCGGATTTATGATAGTTTAAATGTCAGTTGTCATTAAACAACCTAAAATTGAGCAGATTTTTAAGGTTTTTCAAAATTCTCGTTCTCGGCGGCCACTCCTCAAATCAATCTGATTTTTTCACTGTCTGGTAGAACAACACTTACCCTTCAAAACCTATGAAGTCGCAACTGCGGAGGTCTTCAGCCAGCAGATTTGTAACAGTGAAATGATTTTTCACGATTTTTTATTATTTTATCATTCGAAATTCTGGTTCTCGGCGGTTACTGCCTGGATCGACCTACTACATAGATATATGCTCTTAATACTTTCTTTTACATTCCTTTTGCTTATTTTCCTTCTTTTGAGCTTCAGCAAAAAAACTTTTTCAAGCCGAAAAGTGAAGGTGGTCACCCTGTACCAGCTCAAAAGTGAAGGTAGGCGGAGAATCGGCTCCGACTATCGCACCTCTGGCACCCACGCGAAACTGATGTGTCGCGCTATTCCATGCGAAATACGATGGGGTTCAATTTCGAGGCGAATACCTCATTGTCAGCTATTAGAGCACCATAGGAGCTGCCGATTGGGCAGTGTCTTATTTAAGGTCCTAAAATTACTGTCCACGTGAGATTCCCATATGTCCACATTTGCCTGGACGCTGCCTTTAAACCGAAGGCACGTTGGTAGGTGGCGAACCAAAAGCCATAGATGGGAATTAGATATGTACACCACTGGAAGACAAAACAGATTAAAAGTAATTCAAGCTGAATTCGTTCTAAAAAATCATATGAGCCTTTCTAATGCACTTTGTGTTGAAAACTATTACCTTTTGTAATATCTTCCAACTCCGACTGTTCTTTAATCTTGGCATAGTTATGAACCGTAGCAGGATGTTGAGCAACACGACCAAGATGGCAATTTCTCTGTATTAACTTCGGCCAACGTTTCGGCGCAATCGCCTTCGTTAGGGCCTAGAAAGTCGAGTACATAAGGATCTCTTTCCTCAGACGTCAATGAAGAAGCAAGACAATTCAGTTGAAAGCTAGTACGAAGGAAAGAACCAGAGCCCACGGCAAAGCAATACTCACCTTAAACGTTGCATAGGGGGTACGAGGGACCACCAACTATACAATAACTATACCTCTGCCCTATTTATAGTAATGAGGTGACCTGACCTAGCCTCAGAAACGGCACAAATTGGAGCCTCGATTTTGTCCTACGAACCCGAAGTCCTATCGCGCAAGACTTTGGAAGCGTTTTATATCAGCGCTAAAAATCCAAAAATGAACCGGAAGGAGGAGTGTATTGCAATAACTAACGAACTCGCGCCATATCAGGCCCTTTGCGGTTTTTGAGGCTAGGTCAGGTCACCTCATTACTATAAATAGGGCAGAGGTATAGTTATTGTATAGTTGGTGGTCCCTCGTACCCCCTATGCAACGTTTAAGGTGAGTATTGCTTTGCCGTGGCTCTGGTTCTTTCCTTCGTACTAGCTTTCAACTGAATTGTCTTGCTTCTTCATTGACGTCTGAGGAAAGAGATCCTTATGTATTCGACTTTCTAGGCCCTGACGAAGGCGATTGCGCCGAAACGTTGGCCGAAGTTAATAAAGAGAAATTGCCATCTTGGTCGTGTTGCTCAACATCCTGCTACGGTTCATATTACCCTTTGATTCAACTTTCTTGGCGCCTGAAAGGCGGGGCTTCGTGACCGCATTAAGGCCAGCTAATAATCAGAGAGCACGCGCGCGGGAGAGGCGCAGACTGCGTCGCGGGCGCGAGCGGCCTTAACGGCCACAAAGCCGCGCCTTTTAGCCGCCAAGAAAGTTGAATCAAAGGTTACGTCTGTGAATGATATAACAGAACAACGTACTTGGCCAATAGCAGACTAAGTCTTATTTACAGAGAAGGGAAACTACCCGAAATGCTCTCAATGATCTCGATCAATAATCTTACACCTCTTCCTTCGTTGATATTCTTAGGAGGTTGGCATAATTTCTTGTAAATTAATTAATCGATAATTGATTGGTTTCAGCAATTTCCATTACCATGGTTTTCGTTGGGGATGTGTACACATTGATCAACTATACTACCTTCACAGAAAGTTTAGTAATTACATCTTCGGTGGTCGGCTTAGTCAAACTTAGATTTACACAATCAAATGAGAAAATCCCACTCAAAGTACGTTCAAAATTCACGTCATTTTTATAGTAATCTGATAATGCTTATAATGATTTTTTGCAGCAAACCATACTGATCCCAATAACATTCCTCTTGCTATGTTCTCTGATGCTTGCACTGCCTTTTTTCTCACAACCGAGTGAGCTCATAGCAAGTGTGATTATCATTTTGTCTGGGATACCCGTCTATTTCTTGTTCGTTTGGAACACAAAAAGACCGAAAGTGATTTATGCACCATGGAGTAAGTTAAATGCAACAATTAAATGCATCTATCAGTTTTTTTTTGTGGCAACATAGTTATTTTCAGTTGCCTTGACACATTTCGTACAAAAACTGTTGTTATGTGTGCCAAGCGAAGAATAACGCTCAAGAAATCATCGTCGAGAATGCTGCTAAAAGCAATGCCATCAGTTTTTCTAATGGTTACGTGTATCAGGACAAGCTTTATCAGCACTTGACAAGCTGACTTCTCTTCTTCTTACTTTTCCTAAGCAAACAATTCGGGTGTGGCTTAAGCTCAAAATTTACTTCAATTCATCACTCTATGTCACTTGATAGCTTCAACTTAAAGGCAGTGTCCGGGCAAAATTTCGATTTTGAGATTTTATGCTTACTCGGGCCTATTCGCTATGCTGAATCCGAAAATTCATACGGGAGAGCGCGAAAACGGCAAAAAAATGGTTCTAATACAGGACGGAAATTAGAGGTGGGCGGGGTCTTCCCCACCGTGATTTCACGCTCCTAACTTCTGGGGCGATCTTCTCGGTTCCGATTTGAGTCAGACCTTTGCATATGGCCGGTGGAGATGTCAAGGCGACTAGCGAAGTCGAAAAGATCGCTCCGGAAGCCAGCAGCGGGAATTCACAGTGGGGAGGACCCCGCCCACCTGCTGAATTCCCTTTTGCATTAGAGTACTTTTTCGCCATTTTTGCGCTCTCCAGTGTGTATTTTCGGGTTCAGCATAGCGAATAGGCCAGGGTAAGCACAAAATCTCAAAGTCGACTTTTTGACCGGACACTGCCTTTAAACATATATCATGGTCATTGTTCACTTGATTATCTATTGCCTGACTCTTGTATCAACAGTTATGAATACAATTATGTCTCTTACCTATAAAAATTTTTTCCGACAATTTTCTCTTGTGGGAGCCTCGCATGACTAAAGGAGATCAGAAACGAAAGAAAAGGATCACTTCTTTAATAGCTCAAAAACATTATCTGCACGAGAAAAAAATATTCATACGAATGAGACACGCAGATATAGGCTGCTGCACGACGAAGGCGAACGTGGCTCTATTGGCCGCAGAGCGCGCTGCGTTCGCGCAGGGTCAACAAACACCGCTTCTGCGCCTTTGTCCTGCGTAGCCAAAATTCCAAAAGCAGCGTCCACCCACATCTTCGGCTACCATTTTATCATATTTGGAAGTGCAGAGTGCGCGGAAACCCATAGAAAAACCACTCTTTTTTGACCTTATTTTGGCAAGCGTAGACCAAATACTCCAGGCCAGTCACGCTAGGGTCGACACAGTCCACACTGCGGTTCTGATCTGCTGACCACCTGGGAAGCATTAGGAGCAATCCTTGAAAGGGCGGGCCAGAGTGGGAGGGACGAGGGAGGGGGGGGGGGGGAGGGGTTAGGACTCTGTATAGCAGACCATTTCCTCCTTCCAGAAACATTGTTAAAGGCTGCGCCCGGTCGAAAACTCTTCCTGGAGAATGAACCATAAAATTTTGACTGGGGTCATTGGCAAATCTGAATTCGAAAAACCCGTTGGAGAGCGCGAAAAGTGCCTTAACACGCGTTTCACAAAGCCCCACGATTTGAATTTGGACAAGTGGAAGGTTTCCGCCAAGGCTGAAACGCAGAGCCGGTGCAGGACCCTACGGCCTTAAAGGCAATGTCCGGGCAATATGGGGGTTTTGAGATTTCAGTGCCTTGTGAGAGTGGCCCCCTCAGACACAACATCGCGCAAGTGCGACGTCATAACGCTCGACCTAGCGCAAGAAAAACGACCGGAAAGTGGGGAAACTTACCTTGGGGCGGGCTCTTCCGAGCTGTCCGAATTCCTGCTATGAGGTAGAGGATCTATGTCGCCGAAAAAGGGCGGTCCCCGCGGTCATTTGCGACAAATACGCACCCTTGTGATTGCGCGGACATGCGTTCTTGCAGGAAATCCGAGGACCCTTCCACATTCGGCGACATATAGTCCTCCAGCCCCTGCTATGCGGTAGAGTACGCATGCCGCCACAGTTAAAATGTAGGGTTCCGCAACGACTCTGCGTCTCTGCCTTGGTGGGTTGAAAAACGTATGTTCTCGCCATTCGCGCCTTCTAAAGTGGATTTTTGGATTCAGCGTTGCGGATAACTCCTGATAAGTGGATTTTCTCGAAATCGAGTTCTTGCCCAGACACTGGCTTCAAGTGTGCGGCATCCGCATAGTAAGTTTCGACACGCTTTAGGGGGAAATTGGATTGGCGGCTGCGCCTCGCAACGGTTCACGCCGTTTCGCAGCTACAACCATACAGTCTGCCCCAATCCTAATCAGGCCAAAGTTGGCATGGCGGGAGTCCGCGTCGCTAGGGTTTCGCGGCCACGCCCACGGCCTGATTCTCTGTTCTCTCTTCAATCCTTTGGCTCTCTCCGTCAGCGCGCATATGCAGCGCAGACCGCTAGCTCTGCGAGCGCGAAAATTTACGTCCACGCTTCGGTCTGATCCCAATGGAGCAGACTGTATCGTGCTGAGAACCCAAGTCTGCGTCTCTTCATCCTCCCTGGTCTTTGCTTGGCAAATGTCAGCGCTTTGCGCTCGGGATGCCTTCAGCGTAGAAAGCTTCGCCCAATCCGGGAAACCGACTGTGCTCTGCCGAATAGCAGGAAATCCACAGGAGGGCGCTCTTCACCACGGCATAAGTTTCCCGACTTCACTACCGTATTTCTTGCTTCTAGCTTGACTTTAAGAGAACTTGTGCACTGATGCGTCCCAGGGGGCCCACTTTTGCATGGCACTAAGATCTCAGAACTCCCAACCTTGCTCGGACATCGCTATTGTAGACTGGACCAACGCAGATGCATCTCTTCTGGAGCCTCTCATAGACTACATAGTAATGGAGGAGCATGATTTTGGGTGGAAACTGCTTTTATTAGAGCATAATCTGCATAATAAATTATTTGTAACCCGTTATACGTATTCAGATCACAAACCGGACTATGTAAAAAATGAGACATCAGGGAGAAAAAACAAAAACGTTTGCTGTCTAAGCATGGCTATTCGGGGTAAATTCCAAATTACTCTCACTGGGAGAAGAGTCAATAGCTGATGCCCGGTCGGCTATAACTCGTCCGGCCAAATCACGAATCGTTCGAGTTGACTCTTCGATAAACGATCTCATCGATTGATACATTCGAGCCTGCTCCTCGAATGCGATACGTTGGGCCTGAAGTACAGCTCGCTGTTTTTTTTTCAACAGTATGTCATAGCATAACCAAACGCAAGGCACGGATTTGAGGCAACACATATATTATAGTTTTTGGAGTTAACAGTACTTGCTTTCGGCCCTGGTTATTCCTTTGACTTTACTGATATAAACTAAACTCACTTTAATCATTTCAAATTGCTCTTCAAGAATGGAGGACCTTCTGCGACTCGACCTTTTGCGTTTTGCTGGACGTGCATGCTCGGATGTACATGAGGAATCATCGCTATCAAACTGTAATAGATTATGAAAATCAGAAATTATTCCCTGATAAACGACCACGGTAGTTCAACAGGCAAGCAGTGTGACATTTACGGAAGGGTTGAACTAACGTTTTCTGGCTTCGACCCTGTCTTGTCACGCGCTGACGTTGTTGGCCCCATAGACGTCAGAAGACGATGAATATCGAAAAGATTGTTACAATCTTGACAATTTTGGATCTGTAACAATCCAGTACAAAATGTGCAAAAGTTTTGGAAACAAAATTAAGACGATTCTGGAATGATTCAATAGCACAATGTTAATTCTCACCCCGTTTTGTTGAACAGAAGGTTCTGTTTTCACAGCAGGCAATGGACTGCATTGCGAATCAGTCTGAGAGTTTGTTTGAGCCTCAGCGCACTCGGCAGCGATCCGATCCAAGACCTATATTTCCACATACAACAACATCAAGGCATTTTTCAAAAAATTGCGAAACGAAAAATGGTTCAGAACGCAAGAATGTTTGACGCCTCTGAATCTCAATGATGTTTCAAAACTCTTAGTAAGCACTACAAATCAAGCGAATAGCACGAACAAATAGAATAACAAGAACTCCAAAGAAAAAAACTGACCCGCATAGGTTCGAAAACTCACGCTAGACACAGAGTCGTCAATTCGTAAGCTAGGTGATGTAGCTGCCCGTTTACGAAATGAGAGATCCAGTTCTTCGAGACGTCGATTACCAGGAGAATGAGATCGTGGAGGAACATCAAGGTAAGCACGAGCTATAGCAATCTCATAGTCGGTCATAAAACCTTTTCTGGCAGCAATGACGTCCTCGAGCGTCACTTCAACGTCAGAGGTGAGCCTGGAATTACTAAAGTTGAAGAGGCAGTCGACCTCCTGGAGATACAGGGCCTATCAACTGCGGTGTCGGGTGCACTAGCACCGCTCCCGCGCGGGACTCTGCACTTCTTCCGCGAACATGCTCTCTAATCATTTGCAATCGATTGAGACTCCGCCTTTGCCACCCTCGCGAAAAGTGGTCAAAGAGCATGCTCCGAAAGAGGCGCAGCGTCCAGGCGAGGCGGCCGCGCGGGAGCGGAGGGCTGGTGCACCCGACACTACAGTTGATAAACCCAGTATTTGTTTGCTCAACTGACAAAAAAAGAAGAACTGAACTTTCATTCCTAATGACAGAAATGATTTCCAAAAAAGTATGAGAAACCAATGATTCTAAAAGTGTTACTCACTTCTCCAGATTGAGTATATGTCGCACACGATTTTTCTGATGTCGCCATACTCGCTTGATCTGCTCAAGACGCAGATTTCGCTGACAACGTTTCATTGTAGCCATATGTACTTCATCCCATGCTTCAGCTCTAAACAAGCGCTGTAAATGAACGAATTATCGACTGGACACAAATTCGTTAAAGATGAACACCGCCCCTTACGGCAAAAATTATACTCAAGGCATATTGACAACCGCATGAGTATGATATCGAATGATGATTTGATTAACTGGGAAAATCATTCGAATGCGAATGGTGTTCGAAAATTTTAATATTCGAAAATTGGAGATTTCGAATAATAATTCAAATATTCGAGATTTTCCATCAAATATGATTTGAAACTCGATAAATCGAAACGACATTCAAATACTATTCTATAGTTGAGTATTGGCCATCAGTTCGATCATTCGATATTCACTGAATATTCGATGAGCACCGAATATTCGAAAATTCGACAAGATTGACCATTCGCGAATCATGGATTTTTTCAATATTCAAAGCATGGTACAGGGTCCCAAAAGTATCTACACACTGCTTGGTCCCTGATATTTCTTTTACAAGGCTTTTGCCAACCTTTTGGGCATCTTCAGCTTACATCTACAGCAAAAAGCAGCGTTTCATTACTGCGAAATTAGATAGGAATTTTCAGCATATGTATTCACTGCGTTATACGCAGTTTGAAAGAACTTCTCCAAAACATCTAAAAAATTTGTGTAGCACAGTCTTTACGTATACTGATTTTACTCCAGGATGACGAGTTTTTCAAAGGCTTTCAATGCGTGACCACGTTTTTGAGAAACATTAAAAACAGTTACGATGTACTGGTATAACTTATGAAAAAGCATGCTTAAATGCTAATGTAATCAACACCAATCTAAGAGTTTTCAATATTCCTGGTTTTCTTTCACAGGCAAAATATAGACTTTACTGTCTCAAACACTCTTCGGTGGTATACGTGTTTGGATGGCCCCGTGCGCTAATTTGTAAGACAAGCCGTTTTTCTGTGCTGCAGTAGTTGCTCGATCTAGCTACTCAAGGAACCACGATTTGAAATAATAATCTTCTTCACATTTTTTATTACAACCACCGTCGTAGGAGTAGGTTTCTAGGTTGTTAAAGGCAGCGTCCCAGGCAGGTCTGGACACATGGGAATCTCACGTAAATAGTGATTTTGGGGCCCTAAGCAGGGTCAAGCCTGTTGATGCGACCCGGGACCCTTATTTACGACCCCCCCCCCCCCTCCATCTATCCCCTTACCTCCCCTGGCCACATTCCTCGCGGTAACCTGCATAAACGAATGTCAATCTCAAAAAACACCTGCATGAGAACTTCACTGAGGTTTCGGAAGCAGAACTTCTAGGCTAATGGGTGCGCACAGCATCTGTAGCACACACATACACACCTCCAATAACGTTTGAGATTCTGCAAGTTTTTTTGAATTTTCAGGCATACTTCAGACCAGCAAATTCGATTCCCGTATGCGACACAAATTTTTGCACTGAGAAAAAAAATGACATTTTTGAACTACAAAGGATGTTTTCGACTAAGAAGCTTACTTCCAACCTCTTCCACAGTTTTTCCCGTGAAAAAAGCCGCTTTAGCGCCGTCCAGAGCGATGTCAAAAACGTGCATGAGCACGGTAGTTTGAAAATTCGTAACTAAAGGCAGGAAAAGACTGAGAGGCTGCAAAGCACAAGTTCTGTAGCATAGTGCCCAGACTATCCATAGAAAAAGTTTCATCCCTTGAGGAGCAGTAAGCTCGAAAAAAATCTAGATGCGACTCTCGCAAATTTAGATGCGATCCTAAAAAGCAAAAACTGGGATTTTTGAGCTCAAAATTTTGTAACTTACCAGAGAAGTTATAAAACAGCCTGCAATTTTTATGAGGGAAAGTAGGAGGATGGTCTCATGTCACAGCAAAATTGCAGCCAACAAGCTTCGATAGCTCCGAAGAAATTTAGATGTGGCCCAAATACGACCCCCCTTTCCTGACTCTTTTGCTACCATTCATAAAATCATAAGAAAATCCACAGTCTACAAAATAGCACCAAATTTCGCACAGTAATAGCAGGGCTTATCCAAAGTACGTATAAATTGTAAGGGCCGTATAAATGGCATTACATAAAGATTCACGAAATATTAATTGCCATCGTTGATCTAGATGTGCGCTTTTGTCGAGTGTATGAGAAGGAAGCAGGAAGCTTTCGGAAGCAAGATTCCTAAGTGATACATTTTGATTTTTTATTAAATATTACATCCTTCAAAAGTGTTTTGAGCTCTTGGGAATGTTTTTTTTGAGAATTTGTAAAAAAAAATTTTATCCTTAGTACTCTTATTTCTAATTTTTTTCTAAATTTATTCTAAAAAACATGCACTGACTATCTGCTTTTTGATTTCCTTTTAAGCTTACGGTTTTCAGCCAAACTACTTTCTCTTACGACCCCCTCCCCACTTTAGTTGCCCACTTTACGACCCCCCGTTGCGACAGTCGCATTACACGCTTGACCCTGGCCCTAAGTAAGCCACTGCCCAACCGGCAGCTCAGGTAAGTGCCCTAACGGCTTAGAAATGACCCCGCGATAGTATTTCGCATGGATTCATGGCACAACGCGTGGGTCCTCGCGCGAAACTGATGGGCCATGAATCCATGCGAATACGACCCTGGAGTCCAATTTGGAGGCAAATATCTCAGCGTGAGTCATCTGCGCGGCCACTTGGACAGTGCCTTAGTTAGGACCCAAAATTGCTTTCCAAAAAAAAATCCCCATAGGTCCAGATTTGCCTGGACGCTGCCTTTAATGTCACCAATAAATCTTTTTTTTTTCGCCATAAAATGTACACTCAAATTATTAAAACGACATTCGAAAATCGAATAACATTCGGAAGTAGAATGACAGGTACTCGAATATTTTTCGGAAGTCGAATATTCGATAATTTCGTTTTTCAAATCTTATATATAAAGCTGAATGTCTGTTTGTCTGTATGTCTGTCTGTCTGTCTGTCTGTCTGTCTGTCTGTGTGTACGTATGTTCCGAATAGAAAATTCCATTTCTGAACCGATCCGGACCAAACTTGGCACACATACACTTCGGGCCTCGGCGCGTGTCATAGGCTACTTTTCGTCATCGATCGATATCGATTTTATCGATTTTTATCGATTTTTTTGCTGAGTTCACCTACGGGGCTGGGAGTTGGCACAGGGGGGTAATCGAGCATGGGGATTCCGAATACAATATTGGTTTTCAGGATTATCGATTACTTTTATCGATTTTATCGATTTTTTTGCAAAGTTTGAGCTACGGGGCTGGGAGTTGGCACAGGGGGGTAATCGAGCATGGGGATTCCGAATACAATATTGGTTTTCAGGATTATCGATTACTTTTATCGATTTTATCGATTTTTTGCAAAGTTTGAGCTACGGGGCTGGGAGTTCGCACAGGGGGGTAATCGAGCATGGGGATTCCGAATACAATATTGGTTTTCGGGATTATCAATTACTTTTATCGATTTTATCGATTTTTTTGCAAAGTTTGAGCTAGGGGGCTGGGAGTTGGCACAGGGGGGTAATCGAGCATGCTGATCATCCCCAAGGGGGGTGATCAGCGTGCTCGATTACCCCCTGTGCAAACTCCCAGCCCCGCAGGTCAAACTTTACAAAAAAATCGATAAAATCGATAAAAGTAATGGACGATCCTGAAAAATAATATTGTGTTCGTAATCAGCATGCTCGATTACCCCCCTGTGCAAAATCCCAGCCTCGCATGTCAAAATTTACAAAAAATCGATAAAATCAATAAAAGTAATCGATAATTCTGAAAACTAATATTGTATTCGGAATCCCCATGCTCGATTACCCCCCTGTGCCAACTCCTAGCCCTATAGGTGAACTCTGCAAAAAAATCGATAAAAATCGGTAAAGTCGACATCGATCGATAACGAAAAGTGGACTGTGACACCCGCCGGGGCCCGAAGTGTATGTGTGCCAAGTTTGGTCCGGATACGGCGGAGCCGGGTAAGCCAGCTAGTACCATATAATAGTCAAATATTTGGAGATTTCGATTTTCGAATATTCATTCTATAGTCAAATATTCGAAATTTTCACTTTTCGAATATCATTCGATATTCGACTCAGAGTATAGCACGCACCCGAGCTTGCGAGCAGCTGGCATAGGTGGCAGATCATCATTCTTCCAAACTGTTCACAGATACAAATGACAATGAAACTCACCTCTTCCTATTGATTTCCGTTTCGCGTGTACTGCACATGTCCAAGAGAATTTCACGGCGTTTCAGCACCTCTTCGCAAATGACCACTGTGTGATCTTCAGTCATCCGCGACACACAATGGTCGTCTTTATGAGTACTACTGCTAGCTTCGGATGCATTTGGACTCACATTATGAGGATCAACTGCTAGCTTCAAGTCCTCTGTCATGCCTAGAAATCTCTGTTTTGAGCTGTGAGAGATAGTTTTTAATACGTATAGTAATTAGATCATAGAAATTCATCCGGAGATGGAGTCACGATTATGACTACTGCAACGACGATGATAAATGCTGTATTCGTAGCGACGTAAGATACAAGTCCCGGGCATGCCTCACGCAATTCTAAGCGCCTCGCCTTGGCAATACTCCATTTTTTATAGCTCACCGAAAGCATTTTAACACGTTGACGACCGTGTGCATACGCGCGTATGCACGCCCTGACTCCGTCCAGCCTTTTCGTGCATCGTTTTTTCACGTGTAAACAAAAAGTTCTGGTAACTCCTCCTGTGCAGTAATGATACTAGTGGCCTGATTGTCATATAGAACACAAGGGCATCGCCGTAGGTGTACAGGAGTCTAAACCGTAGCTCAAAATGTACATCCAATTCGATGTGCTCCAAAATGGCTCACTCGTCAACATGTTAAATTCACAAAAGATGAAGCATTTCATGGGTTAGAGCTGTCCACACTGCATTTCTAGTCCGTAATAGAAAATTCGACTTCTGGTAAATTGCCAAAATGTGAGAGTATGCCCGAAGCCATCTAATACAGAACCACTACGGTCAGTGCGTCGCGTTCAGTCGATTATCTCGAGACGAAAGTGAATCCCCGGGTACTAAGCTAAGGTCATAACCATATGACAAAATTTAGCAAATGCAATCTGGCGAAGCTTTTTAGAATTGTTATGTTTGGTATCCGGTTTAATTCTTCTGTTGCGGTTTTTCCATGCGTTCCAGGCATCCTTGCTTTGCTTAATAGGTAACTTACAAGGGAATGGTCAGAAGTCGAAGAGGCCAAACCAAACAAGCTGTATACCATTCGATGCAGTATAAAACACTGACTTCGAATCTGTCTTCCTTAACTGCTTCGCGCTTCTGTGGACGAAGCTACAAGCGTTTTTATTGTGAAAAAATCACACATAAATACAGCGGAATTGAGCACACTGTTGCACTTTTAGCTCAGCTTCTTCCTTTAAAAATTTGAAGTAGGCTAGCTGCATGTTTTGGCCCAGCATTAAGGCGAACGTGGCTCTGCACGGCTAAATTTTCAATTTCACGCGTAATTTCTTACAAGGGAACGATACTCGGTGTCCGTGGCCTTTTGAAATGAGATGTATACCATTACACTCGTCTTGAAACGCTGATTCCAAATCTTACTTCCGTTTCTGCTAATCGCTCCAAAGATGTTATCATGGATCGCGCAGAGTTTGGCTGCCCAGTGAAAATTTGTCGGAGCGCCAATGGCATAGGTGCGTTGTGGTTTAGTGGTTAGTGCGATAGCCTCATGAGTTGATGCAGCTCTAGGTTCGAGTCCTTTTGTGTTTTTTTAGTTTTGCGTTGCCTCAATTAACCTTCTTTCACATCCTCAAGTTAAGTGAAGGCCTTACTCTTGAAAAAATGTGGAATTTTGGAAAAAATTACTACTGTTTGCGCTAAAATGTATTCAATGGTCATAATTCGAGTAAACTTTCTCGAACAAGCTTAATTGAGGCAAAAGTAATGCGAAAGTAAAAACGCAAAGGATTTGAACCTACATCAACTTATGAGGCTATCGCACTAACCATTAGACCAGAACGTGGTCGCAGTAGAGGCCGTTCCAATGACCATATTTCCATTAAGCGGCCAAACTTGGATCGAAATTCCTTCATAACTTCTTTCAGAGAAACGATTAGCAGAAACGGAAGTGAGATTCGGAATCAGCGTTCAAAAACGAGTGTAATGGTGTACATCTCGTCTCGAAAACCCACGGACATTGTGAGTGTCGTTTCCTTGTTAGCAAAATAATGGTCTTTAACGGCTTGTAGCTTCGTCCACAGAAGCGGGAAGCAGATAAGAAAGGCAGATTCGAAGTCAGCGTTTTATACTGCATCGAATGGTATACAGCTTGTTTGGTCTGGCCACTTCGACTTCTGACCATTCCCTTGTTAGCTTCACTTTTTCGACTATGGCGAAATAATTGAGAGAACAATTCAGTCAATCCCGAAAACAAAATCGACAATATGGGGTAAGATGGGTTAATGAAAACAAAGGACGCGTCAAAAATTAGATCGATTGACGTGCATTTTGACTTTGAAGAAACAAACGTCGCGTTTTTATAATCATCAATTTTTCTCTCATTAATTTTCCTCTCGGATTTATCTAGCTTTTCTTCGTTTCCCTGAGTTTTCAATATTACTTCGGGCTTGCAGTTTTGGTACACATCTTTTTTCTTTCTTGAATTTTCTCAGACAACCTTCACTTTTCATGGCTGAGGGGGGGGGGGGAGAGATTCAACAGAGTTTACACTTATGGCTTTGTCTCTAGGCCCATCGAAGGGGCTCACTCCTTAATCCGCCCCTTGTCAAACTTCAAGCGGACCATGCCTCTACCTCCTATTAAGTATAGAACAATAATGATTTTGTTAAGGATTGTCGACAAGTTGAGGAGCTGTGAATCATTAAGTCAAGAAATGCAGCGGGACAAATTTCCTCAAAAAGAAGCTGCCTGTTTGTTAAATCTGTTCGCAGATGCTCAACAAAAATTGACAAATGACAAGCGAGTGTAACGATGACTAATAAGAAAAGAAGAATTCATTATTGGACATCCTCGGTTTAAATCTTTCATGTCAAGTGCACACGCACATCCAATTTCAATTTTATGTCAGTACTTTAGCCTCAACCGACAGCCACAATCAAGCATACTGTACACAGAGCTCGACTCAAATTCTCTCCCACTGAGAGTTCCAGACGAAATCCTATGCGTGAAGTTCGATATTTTTCTTTCGTTGCAAGGATGATTAAACAATCATGTTCAGCGAAAACCCATATGGACTGCAAGCCATTACGGAAAATTGCCTGAAAATGCTGAACACGATCGGCTCAATCGCCTACACAATCAAATCCTATCTTAAAAAAAAAAGAAAGAAATCGAACAATAATGAAAAAAGACATTTTTAAAAATGCGTGAGGGAAATGGTGCTCCCTGGGAGAGGTCTTTTGTAGAACCGCAATCTGCTTCTTACAAAAAAAAAATTCAAAAATATTTACAGACTAAAACAAGTTATCGCAGAATTATATATTAGGTTGGCTAAAAAATAAGTTCGTTTTGGCATGCAAATCTTCTTAGAAATTTTTCTTGTTGTTTTCTATCCATGATTACTTCATGGGAAAGTACTTCAAAGCTTTTTCATCACATACCACTAGTATTCAGGATTTTCTATCATCAGTAAAGACATCAGTACAGTTATTCTTCAACATGGCTAAATTTCCAAAAGCTCAATTCTTTGACTTCCTAAGCTTTGTCTTCATGCTGTAATGGATGTAGAAGAACAGCAGTTTGGTATTTGATACAGAGTGGTTTTTCCTATTCAGTGAATAACAATGGAAACTGTTATCTGCCGCTTTGAAAAATCCTTATCAATAAAAAAAACCAAACTTCCTCATAGCGCACTATTAACAAATTAGGATTTCTAACTTCCTTGCATATTTTTTCCTCGGAAGATAAGTTCTGCTCAAACAGAATTTATTTTCCAATACCCATCGAAGTGTTCTTTCAGAAATACCAAACAGTAGACATAAATTTGTCCGCAGCATTTGTAAGAGCCGCAAAGACGACCAAACCTATTTATTGGCCAACCTAATTATATTAGGTTGATTCATAATCAATGCACGTTTTCTATACTTCAACTTCCAACCGAGATAATTCTTTCCTGAAAAGACATATCTAATCGCAATAAAACTACTGTAACCATCAAATCAGTGTCTATAAAATAGATACTTTTGCGTGACTGTATCTATTACAAGAAAGATTTTTTGGCCTGAAGATTGCCAACAACTTTTTTCAGAAGCCTCTATTTTGAAAGAGCTAACTTATGTTGAAACGAAGTAGGATAAAGCAGACTTCGCTCATCGTGTAGCCAAGGGTCTCTTGAGCAGTAATGCCAAGTTTGGATTTAACGGAAATTTTTTGAAAGAAAATGTCGCGAAAAAGTCGAAAGCACTCACTTTTTTCTGGCATCTCGGCGGGTTCAGAAATCGGTCATTTTTGAATTATTTCATTTTTCTCCGCTGGAAAGTGAGAAAACCCTAGCGCTTTTCTACCATTAAATGAACTAGGTCTACCCTTGCCGGATAGTGCAAAAAACCTACAATCGCCTTTTGCCTCAAAGATTTATTTGGCACGGAAGGGTCGCGACGATTATTAAAGTTCGCAATTGAATTTCTCGGCTCAGAATCCATGGAGAATTTTGTTCAAATAGCATCTTGTAGCACAAAATTCTCTAATCCTTATGCATATTTTTTGAAATTAATTTGGTTATTCCTAACGAATTTAGGGCAGAAAGAGTGAAAAGCAAAAATTTTGGAGCTTAGTCTCTTTTGTTTGAAGGCTCGGAACTTTGGAATGAACGGAGATTTACGAAAGCGAAGGGGCGCATAAGAAACTAGAAGGAACGCTCTTTTAGATAGCGTAAAAAGTTTTTGAGAAAATTGATTACACCTCAAATACCAGCTCCTGGAAGAAAAGGTGAAAAAAAGTGCAATAATTATAAATCAACCTAATATAAGCACGACTCTTGGCCTCGTCCATCGCTTTCTCACTGCTATATAAACTGATTCCAGAATTCCCCCGCCACGACATGTGAGCGGAGCTACACCGCATTCGACCAAAAACTCCCAAAAAACCTTGTTTTTAGAATAAGCTACATTTAGCTAAGACGTTATCGTTACGGCAGGACAGACACACAGGACAAGGACTAAGATGGCTAAAGGGCACTGTCCTGGCCCTTGAAATAAAGCAAATATTAGGTTGTAACATAAGTTTTGTGACACTCTTCTCATTTTCCTCTAACAAAATCAAGAAACTTTAGCAAAGTCTGAAAAGGACCATTTATTGACATCGTTTCCAACTTCACAGATATGTCACAGTGAATATAAAGGCAAGTTCTTTTTCCTCTAAAAATTCTCCTCTCCTTACTTTTTATGCTCTCAGATCTTTTATAGATTTTCGGGGGATTTGTACTTATATGAAGGTAGTTTGGAAGTCTAGGCTTTTCAATAACGCAAGTTGGAGATTTGTCACGGATGATACAAAGGTTTTTTAAAAAATCCATATGGATTTTTCATGAGTGACATGTATATATTAACACGTTGACGACCGTATGCATCCGCGCGTATGCACGCCCTAACTCCCGTTTAGCATTTTCGTGCATCCGCGCGTATGCACGCTAGTTTTTTAGGTGTAAACGAAAAGTTTTAAGGTAACTTCTATGCAGTAATACCACTGGTGGCCTGATAGTCTTACAGAACACAGGGCATCGCGGCAGCTGTTCAGAAGTTTGGGCCGCAAAATTGGGTAATCAGTCGGTTTTTGGTAAGGTAAACACATGCTAATTACGTTTTTCCGAGAAGATTAAAACTTTGCAAAGCTGTTTTGAAAGCAAAAAAGGATGAATCAAGCAAAAAATACCTGGTATTACAGCGTTTTTTGGAAAAGAAATTCCTCCAATATAGCGATTGCGCGGTTATTTGGAGGGAAAATCCACGCAAAAACCTTGATTTGTGTAAGTTCTGGTAAGGCTCTGTGATATACATGTATCTCTGAACAAAGTTCACATGTTTTATGAATAAGCGTCAAAAGGACTCCCACATAATGCTTTCGTGCATCCGCGCGTATGCACGGGCCAAATGCGCGAAGGACGTTAGTGGGAGTTTCGCCCAAAATGGCGCGGTCGTCAACGTGTTAAAAAGTTACAAACCTTCCTCATTTTGAAGATGAAGTTTTCATTTAAAAGCGTTAAAAAGTTTTTTCCTTCAAATGTAACAAAACTTATGTTACCAGACCCAATAGTTGTAAACTATGTTCTCTGTTTGTTGCAATAAAAAAAGATGACTTTTGCATGATAGCAACGACCTTGCTGCGTCTCTACCGCAACGCAAGTACGAGCGTTTGCGGACTGCGATGAAGAAATGAGACAAAAGCATTAAATCAAAAGTTTCTTTCCAGAATTTCCAAAAATCTCCTGTTTCATATAATCCCGACAAAAGATATAAGTGCAGAAAGCTGTTAAAAACACTCAGAATGCCACAAACAATATCAGTTGTGCAAAAAAGTCAAATTCTCTTCTCTGAGCTATCTACCAAAATATCAACACTCAGCCAGCCGCTCAGTCACATGCCGCTGTCATATTGCGAATGCCGATGACTATGCCATTTTCTAAGAGTCACATTATTTCGCTACAAAACGCAGCCCTCGTGCTGAAAATGGAAATTGAAACGCGACGACTTTTTTGTACGTTTGGCTGTTGATTGCAAAGCCTAGACACATTCAGTCGCCTTCAATTTTATACCTAACTCAAAGATTTGTTTTCTTTTCGTTATCTAGATCCAATTTCGCATTGTCTAAATCCAATTTCGCAAATTCTCATGAAATACGTGCTTTATTCTAAATAAGGATATTCAAAAATTTTATGAGGACATTCTACCTGTCGTATTGAGATTGAACATATTTTGGTACAGCTCGACATCTTTTTTTTTTCAAAATTTTAAGTGTGGTATGAAAGCAACTGAGATGACTCAAGCTCTTCGGTTGTTTTATGAAAGCAAAGCCGTCCAAAACGTTTATAAGGCTACTGGTCGCTACCGACAATGATTTAAAAGGATCTTCCTCTTCAAGACTGTTTGCGCCATGCGAATTCAGCTAGGAAAAAATTCAAATTATAGCTTGGACTCGTTTCTATGCAAATATTTTCGCCTTAATAGAGGATGACAGTGTTTTTATTTCAAAGGTCCATTTTCAAAATTTTTGACTTGGGACAGGGGAGACGGGTAGGAGAGAACATGGATTAGGAAACAGGAAGAACCCACCTTGTTATGTAGGCGGCACAAAACTTTTGGTAAAACCTGTCAAAGATGACATGTCAATTTTTTTTGACACGTTGCAGGAGGTTGGCAGTTTTTCTGTGAATTTGGGGCCAAACTTGGTTCAATGATGGAGCAATGTCCCTTCATGAAAAAAATTGGGTCCGAATACCGAAAAATAGCATTTGTTTCTTAGAAATTCAGCAAAAGCTCATCAAACGGATAGAAAAACGATTAATGTCTCCAGGTTCCAGATGCGTCATCAGAATTTCGGCTTATCATGTTGCTGAATTATAGAGTCCCTCTTGTTGAATTACGTATTTGCAACCCAAAGCCTTGCGCGCGGACGTTGCGCGAAGCTCTGACGTAGCGCTTGCGTCAATCAAAATGGGTGTACGCGATTGACACAAGCTGTAGACATTCTGCGCTGTTGAGGCTTCGCGACGCGGCAGGACGCTTCGCCGGAAAGTGAGAATGCAAATTAGGATTAATATCAGATATTTTTATGAAAAAAATGGATGGCTTCATTAAACTGAATGGACATTGGCAAAAGCAAAACATTCACTTTGTCACCATGGCACTGACTGGCATGGTCGAAAATCAACGGCGCAAAGTCATGACATCATGTGCTAATGCTCGCATTTTCGTATAGGAAACAGATTTACGATGAGTTATTACGCTGATTCAGGATTTCAAAACTAGTCGATCAGAAAAATACTGATCAATATCAAGTCATGCATTTTTCTCGGAAGAGAACCGAAAAACGCACACAGAAAGCCGAAAGCCATTTATGTTTCAATGAATATTTTGATTCAATGAACAAATTGAACAAACGTAGGACTTCGTACTACCACTAAATTTCCATAGCATAGAAAAATGAGGCTGGCAAAGGGGGCATTTGCAATCAAGAATGAGGTTTCTACGCAGTGATAAATCAAGCTAAATAGGATTTAAGATTCACCTATGGAAACGCTGACTTAGAAATTTCCTGATTCCACAGCTTTACAAGCTGATGAAGTTCACTTATCTCTCCGAAAAAAGTTTGAGAGGCATCTGTTTCCACTCAGCTGACAGAAAGATTCTACGTGAAAGAAGGAGCATTTACGAACGTGATGAGATGATTCGAGTGTCATAGAATGATTTGACAGAAATAAGTCAAAGATAAATTCAACAATGTTCTACGTGATGTTTATTTCGGAACAGCGATGAGAAGGGTCAGTCGGACAGCATATAAAAATTCGTTTCAAGCAAGATGTGAAAGACGTGATGAGGAAATATCTACTTTTCTAGCGACTAACACATTTTGAAGATTCTTCGAAGTTAGCAATGCCTTTTTTAGAGGAGTCCGAAACATAGTAGAGATAACAACTCTTTTTGTTATTTTCTGCAACATTTAGTCAACGAAAGGATCCTGAGAACGTAAAGAATTCAGTGACAATGGGTGATAAGACTGTAAGCAGCTGACCACTTGACGTCGCGATATATGCGGGCAATGTCCTAACATCGATAGCAGAACGCACGAGCGCAGTCTTGGCGACGACGAGAACGAACGGGCAGAAATGCGGGCAAATGGTTGCGCCGCGACCCTCGGCCGGTGCAAACACGACAGGACCGCCGCGGCCGTCTGCGCCCTTGCGGCCAGCGCGCTGCCTCGCTTCTCTGCTAGCCGGCACCTCCGCAGGCAGAGCGCGCTCGCGCCATTCTCTCGCCGCCGCGTCGCCTGTCAGTTGTCTCCTCAGCTCAGAGCACCCTCGCGACATTCTCTGCTCGCCGAGCGATGCAGCACCCACATGGCCGTGCCGTTGTGCACCTGGTAGCACGTCACTCATCTGATGTTGGATGCATGGGGACGCACTGCTCTCACGCTAATTGTCATGACATTCGAACCGGACGAAAGCGTCAGACCGTCGAACTCATCTTCTCCAATTTAGAGCTTGCAGACAATTTCAAATGTTTGTCACGTTCGTAATTGCCATTGCAGCAAATACAGTTCTAACACCTACGGGTGGATGACTATATATATGTCGCCGGAGGTGGTCTTACGCGGACATCGGCAACGGCCACGCAGCTCTCAGAAATTCGCAGTTGACTCGGCAGGACAAAACGAGGTGTAATCACGGAATGTCTACGCGACTCCCGAAGGCGGTTCGGGACAAAGTCAGGACACCTATTTCTGTTTCGGGACAAAAGTGACGAAATCAGGTGTCCCGACCGACACATTCTGGTCAAGATCGGAATACCTGCGGGACCCCATAATGTCCCGATCACATTCAGAGCACCCGGCCTACGTTCTTATTAACTGCTTTTTTGCCTCTAGGTCTTCTCTCACGCCTCCCTCTTCACTTTCCTTGTGTCCTCGGTCTTTGATTCTCATTTTTCACGCCTGTTATTTTTTGTTATTTTTCTACTCGTAAAACACAGCCTTACGTCGTAAAATTTATTAAGAAATACCAAGATCTTCTCGAGCAGGCTTTACAATGGAAGCGAAATGAAATGCGTAGAAAACAGCAAATATAGGATCCAGGAGCTCTACAACTGCGACACGAAGTGCGTGGCTAACGCTACGCACCTTCATTTGATAAAAAATTCCCCCCCCCCCACCCTCACCCCGGGCGGAAATCCTGGGACCGCCACTGACAATACTGTATAGGTTTCTCAACTTCTTCAATTTCATCTTCAACGCATTCAGTCTTCTCAATCATTAGGTCTTCCTTAGTGCGATACCCTCGATAACGACACGCTTTTTCTGAAAATCAAAAACTATTGATACCAGTAATCATATAAAACGAATAAATCACCTTTGACGGAAGAAGCGCTGCTCTTTTGGGGTCAAAATGGTAAGTGCGGATGCCTGGCTGCGAAATCACACTTAAAAAGTTGTTTTGATAACAAGGGAATGGTCAGAAGTCGAATCGGTCAATCCAAGCAAGCTACCTACTATTCGATGCAGCATTCAAAGCTGATTTCCAATCTGTATTCCATATCTGCTCAACGTCTTTGTGGACAAAGTTATGGGCAGCTTTACTGCGAAAAAATCGTACACAAAAATTGCGAGATTGAGCACATTGATGCATTTTCGGCTCACCCTTAGGTTTTAGTAATATAAAGTAACTTAGCTATGTTTTGGGCAATCGTTAAGCCAAACATGGCCCTGTCTGCCAGCATGCAGATATCTTGTCAAAATGACGACTTTTAACGGCTCATAACTTCGTCCACATAGGCGCTAAGCAAATATGAAATACAGATTCGAAGTCAGCTTTTTATGCTGCATCTAATGGTACGTAATTGTTTGAGATGACCACTTCGATTTCTGGCCATTAGAGTAAGTATAAGCCAAATTTTGCCTTACACATCATATTTATTCAGTAAAAAAACTGCTACATTGTGAATCTTGGAACAAAAACATGTAGACCAACCAGCCATCCATTCAAGCTCATTTTCCCCTTTTTATAATTAAAAAATGATCCAAAACGTAAATGGATTTCTGCTTAGTGCTGTTATTTTTGAAAAAAAAAGGTTGAAGACTCCATGGTGATGAATTTCATTAATCAAAAAATCGTTATGCCTTTTCGAACAGAAAACATTTGGGTTATGTATGTATCAGTCCAATCTTTTTTTTCTCTTTCTTCTATTGTTATCAAACATTTGATGCTTTCAACATTATATGTGTTGAATTTGAACGGTATCAAATCACTTCGACATTGCTAATTTTTGAATGTACAGGAATAATAGTAGCGAGTGGTCACAATTGCAGCAGCAATTATAAATGTAATTTTTTTCGTCAAAGATTTCGGTTTCCATACTCAATATCATATATGAGATCGTAACCGTTCATTTCAATCATATGCTCAACAATCATATTGCGAGCGCAGAAAGAGTGGAATTTTGGGCCACTTCGGATCAAAGAAAATAGGACAGACTGCAAGGGTTTCCAAAAAAGGGAAAGGGAATTTTGCAGAGCATTTCCAGAGAAAATTTTGTGAACGGGAAGAATTTCTAAGCTATTTCTAAAGAGATTTTTAGATAAAAAAAAGGTGCCCGGATATTGGCAATGTGAAGGGTGATTTGAACATTTCGGCAGTGGAAAACCAAAATACGTGCTCTAAAAACTTGGACAGGATACTAAGAGCAGTTTGTTCCATTTGGGAAAGTGGAGTTGAGGGACACAACCGTAGCTGTACAGTTACAGTAAAGCTGGCTCTCGGAAATGTGCAAGAACCGCACTTTGGTAATTGATTCCTGAGTGTGGAGCTCTGGGGAGCGCTGCGAAATTCTTGCAAAGACTAGAAGCCATCTTAGTTAGGCCTCGGGCAGAGTTCACGCGATTTCATTGTCGCGACTGATTGCGACAAGATAATAGTAACAATATCATTGCATGCCGATCTTCTTGCACTTCGGTTGTGATAGTTTTCCAACACGACTAATCGTGACATACACGACCGAAATACATGAAGGTCGGCATGCAATAAACTCGTAAAGCCCCGGACAGACTTCACGCAATTTAATCGTCGCGATCTAATCGCCAAGATTTCCATTCATTTTCATTTCACATTCAAAAATTTCGGGCTGGAAAAGTTTCACAACCGAATGCAAGTTCATCTGCATGGAATGATGTTGTAACAGTTGTCTCGTCGCGATTCAGTCGCGACGATAAAATCGCGTGAAGTCTGCCCGGGGCCTAACACTTGTCTTGTAGCGATTGCACCGCGACGATCAAATGCGAGAACTCTGCCCGAGGCCTTAGGCTGAGAGACTGGGGGGTAATGCATTGAGATGAAGATAAGTGTATAGGAAGGAAGAGCGAAAGCGGGCTAGAACGAAAAATGCAGAAAAATATTTGGAGAACTCTGTTTGAGAAAAGCTTCCTAAAGAAAAAAGATAGAAATTATTGAAAACCTCTTAAGTTATTCTATTCCTAATACTCCTCTAACCTCCACTAAAAGAAGACCAAATGGAGGAGTAGGGAGAAGGGGGAGGAAACTAGGGATGGAGGAAAAAGCACACATGAACATAATAAGTCTGGTGGTGCCCTCTGAGAGAAGAGAATAGGGAGGTGGTACTATAGCAAGGATAGAAAAACCCGTAGAGTGTAGGCAAGCATTTACTGACATGGTCGCTAAAACTGCGGCACCAGAAAAATTGTGGAGCTCTGACCGGGGAGAAATAAGGCATGGGGCTCTCTCAGCCCAAATAGCTAATAAGCTTTTGAGCGGTGGGAGCTAACTAGTACTTTACTTATAAGGAATGCGAGCTTGGAAGACTATACTATCGGCTAGGAGAATTTGCGCCGCGAGTTAGAAGATTTTATTATAGTTCGTCTTTTAAATTGATTGCGGTAAAACCTTTTGCTTACATTTGGTATTATTTATTTCCTAGAGCTCACTATGAAACTCCAACTCAAGTCTAGAAAACTGCATTCCGCAGATATGCTGAGTCTTAAGTCTTAAGACATTCTGATAGAGATAAGAAAAAAGAACGCCCCTTTGATTTTGAACAAAAACGCAGGGATCTTCACTAGAGTTGCTATTTTAAATACGCGGCTTGATCGGAAATAAAATAGCGTAAACTATTGCTTTAAGAAAAGCAGTGTATTGTGCAATGCTTTCGAATATCTATGATCTATGACTTAATAATAACGGGCTAAGGGTTGTTTACGTCTGTTTGTCTGTGTGTCTGTGTGTACGTCTGTCTGTCACGAAATTCGTAGAGCGAGTTCCAGCCAACCTTCTGAGTCCAAATTTCGGACAGCGGATGCTGCCAACGTGAGAGTCCAATATACAAATGCACGAGCGGATCCATTGAGTGGATCCCTCGAAAAATGCGCGTGAAACGGATCCACTTGGCTTTTGGCCAGTGAAATTGAGCCTTAGCACAACTTTTTGCAAAGCCACTGATATGTTTGACAAGTTAATGTGCAAGCCATGGACTTGAGCCTAAATGAGTGAACTAAAGTTTATTACTTTGCGAAAACGGCGTCAAAAAGAATAGATTACGTGAATAGCTAATTTGCTAAGATTTTATCCGATCGTTTGAGAAGATTTTTGCACAGATATGTAGTCCACGGTGATTATGGCATCTTATAGCGAACATCAAGCCATGAAAAGTCCAAAAACCAATTCAAATTTGCATTTGTTCTTTCGAGAAAAGTTTGGTTCTGCGAAATTACCGATCTCATATGGAAAAGCTTTTGGAATGAATAGTTGTTTACAAATTATTCGTGATAGTCCGCATAGCGCGGTGAATTCCAGTGTCATTATTGTGCGAGAATGAGTAAGACATACAGATAGTAGGGCCAGTGCCCTACTATCTGCCCTACTGGTAACTTATAATAACGGGCTAAGGGTGTTTACGTGACTTTGTGTGTGTGTGTGTGTATGTGTATGTGTATGTGTATGTGTATGTGTATGTGTATGTGTATGTGTATGTGTATGTGTATGTGTATGTGTATGTGTATGTGTATGTGTATGTGTATGTGTATGTGTATGTGTATGTGTATGTGTATGTGTATGTGTATGTGTATGTGTATGTGTATGTGTATGTGTATGTGTATGTGTATGTGTATGTGTATGTGTATGTGTATGTGTATGTGTATGTGTATGTGTATGTGTATGTGTATGTGTATGTGTATGTGTATGTGTATGTGTATGTGTATGTGTATGTGTATGTGTATGTGTATGTGTATGTGTATGTGTATGTGTATGTGTATGTGTATGTGTATGTGTATGTGTATGTGTATGTGTATGTGTATGTGTATGTGTATGTGTATGTGTATGTGTATGTGTATGTGTATGTGTATGTGTATGTGTATGTGTATGTGTATGTGTATGTG